AGTGCGGTAGGGGAAGAGGCGGTAGTAGGGCACCGACTCGTCGAACGTGACGTCCTGGGAGGACAGAACACGTCGAGAGGTGGGGTGGTAAAACTGCCACCCAGGGGCGTCGGGGGGAAACCCCAGGAAGACGCAGGGAGAAGCACGAGGGGACAGCTTGTCCGCAGACAGGTCGCGAACAAACGCCCGAGATCCCCAGACCCGGAACGCCGACGCATCGCCAACCTTCCCCGTCCACAGCAGGGCTGGGGAGGTCTCCGGTCGAGAGACCCTGGGGTGGAGGTTGATCTGGTGCGCAGCGTACCTGACCGCAAACGGCCACAGAAAATGGGGAGCAGCCGCATGCATCATGGACGTACGAGCGACGTCCATGACCATGCCAATGCGGTGCTCAGCAATCCCATTTTGCTGCGGTGAGTCCGGAAGCGTGAAGGTCTGACGGATGCCTCGCACACGACAGTAGGCACTCAGGAGGCCGGAGGAGAACTCTCCACCTCTGTCCGAGTGCAGACGCAAAACAGGGAAGTCAGAGCCAAAGCTCCTCCGAAGCTGGAGACGAGCTGCGCGGATCCAGTCGATCAGCACCTCAGTGACCTCACCCTTGCTGCGCAAGGGGAAGACTGTGGTGTAACGCGAGTAGTCGTCAACCACCAGCAGGAAGTAGCGCTCCTGACCCTGTCCACGGACGCGGGCTGGGCCCCACACGTCCATGTGAAGCGTCTGCAACGGGGCCTCTGTGGGAGGAAACTGGGAGGAGTGAGGGGCAGCACGCTGGCGCCCCTCGACACAGGGGACACAGGTGGGGCCAGGGCCCGGAGGAAGGGGAGGGAGAGACCGGGGAAGACCAGACACAAGGACTCGCGAGGCCATGCCTCTGAGCCGAAGCAGAGAGGGGTGGCCAAGGCGGTGGTGCCAGAGGAGGGTCTCGTGAGACAGACGACGACACGAGCAGGGGGCAGACTCAGGACCAGACCTGGACGCTGCAGCAAACACCTGACCAGACGAAGGGACCCTACCAGACTCAGCACCTGGAGGAGAAGCAGTGGTCAGTGTGTACAGGCTCGACCCTGGCCGACGTGTAAACGTAGCCAGGTGGCGACCTGTATCCTCCTCCGTGCAGTGGGTCACCCGCTGACGAGCAGGGGTGAACTGGTGGACACCCGCATCCTGGAGGTCAGCACCACTCACCAAGTTCGTCGAGAACGAGGGGAGGTAGAGACCAGTCAGGGTGCCAGAGGGGGCCGCCGGACACGGGAGGACAGTGGAGAAGCGAGCCAGGACCGGCCCCCCAGAGGGGTCAGCCAGGGACACTGCAACCGGCCGACTCAGCGGCGTGAGAGTGGTGCGGTCCCTAAAGAAGGAGCGAGACGCTCCAGAGTCAAGGGTGAAGGTGTGAGAGGCCGAAGCCGACACAGTACCTGAGAGGGCAGACTCACCAGCACCTGAGAGCACAGACGCACTGGCACCTAGAGCAGCAGCCTCACTAGTACCTGACGCGGCAGTACCAATGCCCGGGTCGGGCGGGAAACACCGGTAACAGTCATCCTCATCACTACCAGTCACAGCATACATAGCAGAGAGAATAGCATCAAAGTCAAGATCATAAATAGCTACTCCAGCCCTAGACAGCTCTCCCCAGCGGGGGATCTCAGCGGCCTCCGGAAACTGCTGACGCCAGGCGTCGGTCAGACGGCCAAAGCAGCGACGGGCTGTGTGGGCGCCTCCACACCTCTCCCCCGCACGGTCACCGGTGCGAAGAACGTAGGGGCAGGGACCAAGAGCACCACCGCGCTGACGCTGCAAGTACCACTCACGGAGTTGCTGAGGGCCGGGGACGGTGCGAGAGCGCTGCTGCTGCTGCGGCTGCTGCTGCTGCTGCTGCTGCTGGCGCTGACCACCCCCAGAGCTGCTCCTCTGGGACGAGCCACTCCTACCCCCGCCTCCACCACCACCCCCGCCTCCACCGCCACCCCCGTCTCCACCGCCACCTCCCCCACCAGGACCGTCGCTCCCACCGCTCCCACCGCCTCCTCCGCTACCACCTCCGCCGCCACCTCCGCCTCCACCGCCGCCACTAGTACCTCCACTCCCGCCACCACCTCCACCGCCACCCCCACTCCCCCCGCCACCCCCACCTCCTCCGCCACTGCCTCCTCTAGATCCACCCGCTCCCTTGCCCCCCTTGCCCTTGCCAGAGCGGCGTCTGCCGCTGGGGGCAGACGCCGCACCGACCGACTCAAAACCAGCGAGGTCGGCCGTAGCAGCAGAGGCGACAGAGGGCAGCAGGGGGGAAGGAGAACACCCCTCAAAGATGGGGGTGCGAGGGTCACCCCTAGAGGCCCCTACAGCGACTATACTCTTCTCAGCCGCTAGCAGGGACTCCTCAAGGAGGTCGACAGTGAGGGTGGTGGGACAGACAGAGAGAAACTGGTCCCTAACGACACGAAGGGACTCAGGAAGACGGGTGACGAGAAAGTAGAGAGTGATATACATGGGAGGAGGGTTTGCGGCGCGGAACTCAGCAGGAAGGGCAGCGCGGTAGCGAGCGTCACTAGCGCGGAGGTGGGTAACGAGGTCAGCGACAGTGGGAAAGGAAGCGAGGTCAGGGAAGAGAAACGGTAGCATGAGGCGGCTAAGGGCAGCGGAGGAAGGGGAGGAGTAGCGTGCAACTACAGCGTCGTACAAGGCCTGAGCGGTCTTGCACTGACTAAAGTGGGCACGCTCAGAGGAAGGGAGGTGGCGACGCACAGCAAGACGTGCAGCAGCATCGCGGGTCGCCCACTTGGAGCGAACGGCAGAGTCAGCATCAGCAGGCGGGGCAGGGACAGCTCCAGAGACAAAGTCAAAGAGAGAGACCTCGTCTATCGCATCACACAGTAAGTACAGCTGCAGGTCGTCAATCCAGACGGCAAAGTCAATGGCCCTCCCCTCAGCGTCAAAAGTAAGAACATTGGGGGTGGCCATGGCAGCAGCTGAAAGTCTCACCGGGCTGGAAGAGTCGGGTAGGTCAGCAGCAGAGGAACACAGCTCAGGGACAGCAGCACGGCTGATGGGAAACCCTAGGAAACCCTAATTGTGTTGTACCCCCTATGGGATACCCCACTATAGCCTACAGAAACAAGTAAGCTATATGTTCTGACATAAACGTCGTCACTTATATTTTGGTGCACATTTCTGCAACGACCCCCCTGCCTTTCACCCCACCCCCCCGCATAACTAATAAGGGCGTATTTCAGCTTGGGTCATGGGCACTGTTTGGGTCATCCGAGATTCTTGGAGGACCGATAAGCCGCATTTCAACTACACGACTGAAATCCCATTGGTGCCCCTTTGACCCAAAATGGCCCTATGACCCGAACTGGGATACGCCCTAAATAGTTTAGAAGTGCGGGTAGCGCTGATTTAGGTTTGTAAAGCTGTAAATCCATAGATCAGTAGTTCATATGGTACTTTTTTTATGCTAAGTAATAACTCCATCGTTTGCTCAAAATTTTCCGGGACGGTTAAGTATACTCTCTAAAGAAGCACGAATTTCAAGTTTTGATTTTAACCAGCGTCCGTGATGGGTAAGGGTGAAGAAAAATGTCACCTTCGTGAAAATAAGGGCAATGATTTGAGCAGCTCAAGACCCTAAGTTTTGGCCCCATGGACTTCGACAGCCCTGTTCACAAGGCCACACGTGCCGTTGGCGAGAAGGCTCCGAATCTCCTTGTCCATCTCAGCTTTCATAGCCTTCCCGTTCTATCTCGCCAACGCCTCGTTGACCATCATGGTCGACACGTCCCAACGCCGTTCCTGGTCGACGTGCATGTCGGGATCGGTCAGGCCACCATCGGCGTACGCATCGTCTAGCAGGTGGTGCAAGCAACCTTCGGGTGGGTGTAGCTCTACTTCTCTAGAGGCTTGACAAAGTTGGGGCGGGTCAAACGTTGTAGTGCTGGCTTGTCGACCGGAACCTCCACCACGTCGCTGCTACTGGGCTGCTCCCCCGTCGACACCTCCCCTTCGTTGTCAGCAGCTTCTTCACAGCTTCGGTGACACCGCTTGGTGAAAAGTCGTCAAGCTGCTCCACTGATCTCGGCTTCCCTGGCGACTGGTTCACTGACGTCGACTCATTTGTCAATTTCTCCCCTATCGTTGGCTCCCCCAAAGTCGGCGGCTTCCCTTTGTCGCCAACTTGCACAACATCATGTCGCCGCCTGCAATTTCATTGGCCGGCATCGCATTCAAAGCACCAATTTTCCCCTTATCGATGTCGGCCAACATAGTTATTGACCTAGAGAGGAAACTGACAAAGGGTGGAGTGGAGGCGATCGCGGTAGGAGGCGAGGCCCACAGCGGAACAGCAGTCATGTGGAGGAACGTCCGCGACGTCAGGCAAATCATCCTCGATGAGCAGCCGGATCGACGCCGGCAAGAAATCTGTCAGCGGGGAAACCTGAGTCTTCGCGAAAGTCGACTCATGCTCTTCCCCTTTTGACCTGGTTACGGAAATAGAACAACCACATTTCGATTCCATTCCAATTTCGTCATAGAGTTACAATGTTTCCCGTGGCGACGAGGGGGAAAGTAAGTGAAACGCCTAAACTAGTTTCACGCACATGCCGCCCGCCTACCTGGAACTCTTGTAATGAGCATTCTGTCGAGATTAGAGAAAAATGAGTGCACTATGGAATGAAACAAGGATACAAGTACCAACCCTAATTGGGTTGTACCCCCTATGGTCTACCCCAACAGCAGCCTACAATACATGCATCAGCTAAATATAATCTGACACACCCCCATAGGCAAAGTGGGGGAGAGCAAGGGGTCACAAGACCAGTCAAGCAAGACAAGCAAAGAAAAGCAAAGCAAGCTCAGGGTGGATCTCAAGGATACCACACAAATTCCGAGCACAAGGTCAAGGCTACAAGGCCAGTTCACATGTAGCAGAGCATATATATATAACAGTGCTAAACAAGCAAGAGCAAGGATATATATATGCAGCAGTACAAGCAAGGTCAAGAGGTAAGCAAGTGAGGCCCAGTGGGCACAAGGCCTAGCAGAGTGCAAAAGCGCTGATGGTCACGAGGCGGAAGTGCCTTGGTGAACACATCAGCAGTGTTGGCCTCAGTGGCCACGAAACGCAAAAGAAGCTGACCACGCTGCTGCAGCTCTCGAGCAAGGAAGTAGCGCAGAGCAATGTGCTTCGTCCTGTGCTCCAGTCTGTGCTCCTGACACAAGGCAATGGTTGCCTTGTTGTCAACGTACAGTACTGGAGGAGAACGAGGCCGCTCTCCAAGGTCAGTCAGCAGGTAGGTGAGCCAGCGAAGCTCCTGGGCAGCCATGGCCGTGGCGTAGATCTCAGCCTCACAGCTGGAGCTGAGAACAGAAGAAGAGCGAGTAGAGCGCCAAGAGACAGAGCCAGAACCAAGACTGAAGGTGTAACCCTGAGACGACCGCTGAGTAGCCTGGTTGTCAGCCCAAGAAGCGTCTGAGTGCCCAGTGAGCACAGGCCGCTCTCGCCCTCCAAGCACTAGCCCCATGCCCGACGTACTGCACAAGTAGTGCAACACCCTCTTAGCTGCATCCATGTGCTCCTCCCGGTGACGGCCGGGAGCAACATAGCGTGCTAAGATGCTGAGAGGGTATGCGAGGTCAGGTCGAGTGCAGGTCATTAGGTACATGAGGCAGCCCACAAGCTCTGGATACGGACCACTCGACTCTACGGACTCATCCGAAGGCAGAGCTGAGAGCGAGTGTCCCGTAGGCAGAGGAGTGGACTGAGGCGAGGAGTACGTGAAGCCGAAGCGCTGAAGGACCTGCTGCACCATGTGTGACTGAGTCAGGGTAATGGTGCGGCGTGCTCTGTCCCGGGTGATCCGCAAGCCAAGATAGCTTGTCAGTTCACCCAGGTCTGTGCACGTGTGTCTCTTCTGCAGCTCGGACTTCACGTGGGCGAGTGCGGCAGTGTCCGCAGTGGCAAAGACCAAGTCGTCGACGTACACGAGGATGTAGAACGGCGGCAGCGAGGTGTCGGTGCGTAGAAACAGCGACGGGTCAGCAGTAGAAGGAGCAAACCCAAGAGCCGCAAGTGTAGTCCTCAGTGTGTCGTGCCACTCACGCGGCGCCTGGCGGAGACCGTAGACTGGCCGCCGGAGGCTCCACTGGGTACCAGGAGGGAACGACCCAGTGAAGCCAGGAGGGCGGCGCAGCCAGATCTCCTCGTGCAGGCGGCCCTGCAGGAAAGCAGTGCTGAAGTCAAGAGAGTGTAGCTCGTAGTCACGCTGAGCAGCGACATGCAGTAGAACCCGAAGAGTGGTCATCTTCGGGGTCGGGGAGAAGGTCTGAAAGAAGTCAACTCCCTGTTGCTGACTGAAGCCACGAGCCACGTAGCGCGCCTTGAAGACAGGCGGAGAACCCGGCGGCCGCTTCACCCTGAAAATCCACATGCCACTAACAATGTTCGCCCCAGGTGGGGGAACCTCGTCGACGTAGGTGCCTGTGGACTTCCAGGAAGCCATCTCTGCATCCATGGCTGACTGCCACAGAGAGGAGTAGGGACCGGCCATCGCCTCTGCGTAAGAGCGTGGGGTCGGGATGTCTAGAGCATCCGGGTCTCCCTCAAGGGCAACAAGCATGGACACGAGATGGGGCAAAGCGGCGGCAAAGCACTGGAACTCCTCCTGCCTGTCCTCAAGGACGTCCGTGCCAAGAGCACAGTCACCCCCGACGGACGGAGGACAGGCAGACGCAGACGCAGACTCAGCAGACTCAGCAGACTCAGCAACAAGACTAGCAGCGTAGTCTAGACGACACGCAGCAGCAAGGTCGACCAGCTCAGCAACTAGCGCAGACGCAGCAGCGGACTCAAAGGAAGGGTAAGTGACAACAGTAGCAAGAAGACGCATGACAGTAGGACTGGCAGCACGGCGAGAGTCCGACTCCGGGTCGGCAAGTGTAGGAAGAGAAGACTGAGGAGGAGAAGGCAAAGGGGCACGCAGAGGAGCAGTGGACGGACGCAGAGACATCCTGTGTGTGCCAGGGACAGGATTAGGACGCTGACGCGAACCGCGACCACTAGGGCGAGCAACTCGGACTGGCGACATAGGGCGGGACGCAGGCTCACGACGCTCAGCAAGACCTCCAGTAGGACCAGTGTAAGGAGAAGGAGAAGGCAGGGGAGAGGCGGGCTGTAACTGTGACTGCGACGGGACAGGCTGTGGACACTCTACGGGAGGAGAAGGACCAGTGGAAGGCGGGAGACCAAGAACCTGCTGAAGGAGCGGAACGAAGTACGGCCGAGGCCGCGCAGCACCGCCAGAGACAGCAGGGACAGCACCAACACCTCCAGAGGCAGCACCAGCACCAGTAGCAGCTCCAACTCCAGCACCTCCAGCAGCGCCAGAAGTACCCTCAGTAGGACTGACAGTCGTAGACTCAGCGCCAGCACCCGCAGCAGCTCCAGCTCCAGAGGCACCCCCGGGCCCGGCAGCTCCAGTACTCTCAGTACGAGCACCTCCGAGACCCGTGGTACCAGCTCCTTTGGCAGCAACAGAACCTCCAGCACCCGCAGCACCCCCAGCTCCAGCAGCTCGCCTCCAGCGCCGGGCAAACTACTCACGCAACTCCAGAGGAGAGAGCGGCTCGCGGCGCGAAGAATGGTCCGGAGAACCACCAGGAACAGAAGCAGTAGGCGCAGCACTCCCAGGCGAAGCACTCCCAGACGCAATACTCCCAGGCTCAGCACCCCCAGGCTCAGCACCCCCAGGCTCAGCACCCCTAGGCTCAGCACCCCCAGGCTCAGCACCCCTAGGCTCAGCACCCCCAGGCTCAGCACCCCCAGGCTCAGCACCCCCAGTCTCAGCACCCCCAGGCTCAGCACCCCGAGGCTCCGCACCCGCAGCAGCACCAGAGTCACCAGTAACCTCGACAGGCTCGACCGCGTCTACCTGAGACACACCTGAAGGGGCAGGACCCTAATGGGGGGAGGGGGTCTACCGGGGGGGGACCTGGGACCAGGAAAAGGGGCGGCGGGGGGAGGGACGGAGTGCGGTAGGGGAAGAGCCGGTAGAAGGGAACGGACTCGTCGAACGTGACGTCCTGGGAGGACAGAACACAACGAGAAGTGTCGACCCGTGTCCGCGCCCGTGCAGTGGGTGTCCCGTCGGCGCGCAGGGGTGAACTGGTCAACCCCTGCATCCTGTAGGTCAGCACCCGCCACCAAGTTCGTAGAGAACGAGGGGAGGTAGAGACCGGACAGGGAGCCAGACGGGACCGCAGGGCACGGAAGAACAGTGGAGTAGCGAGCCAGAACAGGACCCCCAGAGGGGTCCGCTAGGGAGACTGCCACTGGACGACTAAGCGGCGTGAGTGTGGTGCGGTCTCAAAAGAAGGAGCGAGACGCTCCTGAGTCAAGAGTGAAGGTGAGAGAGGGCGGAGCCGACGCAGTACCTGAGAGAGCAGACTCACCAGCACCTGAGGACACAGACTCACTGGCACCTAGAGCGACAGCCACACCAGCACCTGGAGCAGCAGCCTCAACAGCACCTAGAGCCGCAGTACCAATGCCCGGGTCGGGCGGGAAACACCGGTAACAGTCACCCTCCTCACTAATAGTCACAGCATACATGGCACGAAGAATAGCATCAAAGTCAAGATCAAAGATAGCTACTCCTGCCCTAGACAGCTGGTCCCAGCGAGGGATCTCAGAGGCGTCAGGAAACTGGCGGCGCCAAGCGTCAGTCAAGCGGCCGAAGCAGCGCTGGGTGGAGTGTGGACCACCACACGGCTCACCCGCACGGTCGCCAGTGCGCAGGACGTAGGTGCACGGACCAGTACCCCCACCCTTCTGACGTGCAGCGTACCACTCATGGAGCTGCTGCGGGGAGAGAGTCTCCTGACCACGCTGCTGCTGCTGGCGCTGACCACCACTGGAGCCACTCCTCTGCGACGAGCCACGACCTCCGCCGCCGCCTCCGCCGCCGCCGCCGCCACCACCTCCGCTTCAACCGCCACTCCCACCGTCGCCGCCACCACCGCCGCCCCCGCCTCCACTCCCACCACCACCGCCGCCGCCGCCCCCGCCTCCACTGCCGCCGCTGACACCTCCACTCCCGCCACCACTACCGCTACCACCCCCACCTCCTCTGCTGCCTCCACCGCCGCCTCCACCGCCCCCGCCGCCTCCACCACCGCCCCTGCCCCCCTTGCCCTTGCCAGGGCGACGTCTCCCACTGGGGGCAGACGCCGCACCGACCGACTCAAAACCAACTAGGTCGGCCGTAGCAGCAGAGGCGACAGAGGGCAGGAGTGGGGAGGGGGAACACCCCTCAAAGATGGGGGTGCGCGGGTCACCACGAGAGGCCCCTACAGCGAGAATGCTCTTCTCGGCCGCTAGGAGGGACTTCTCGAGGAGGTCAACAGTGAGAGTGGTGGGGCAGACTGAGAGGAAGTCGTCTCTGACTCCGCGAAGGGAGTCAGGGAGGCGGGTGACAATGTAGTAGAGAGTGAAGTACATGGGGGGGGGGTTCTTGGCGCAGAACTCAGCAGGAAGCGCAGCGCGGAAGCGAGCGTCACTAGTGCGCAGGTGGGTAATGAGGTCGGCGACTGTGGCAAAAGAAGCAAGGTCGGGAAAGAGGTACGGTAGCATGAGGCGGCTCAGTGCAGCAGTGGCAGGGGAGGAGTAGCGTGCAATAACGGCGTCGTACAAGGTCTGAGCACTCTTGTACGACCCAAAGTGTGCACGCTCAGAGGGAGGGAGGTGGCGACGCACAGCAAGACGTGTAGCAGCATCGCGTGTGGCCTACTGTGAGCGAACAGTGGCATCCTTAGTAGCAGCAGGGGCGGGAGAGGCACCAGAAGTGAGATCAAAGAGAGAGAGGCCGTCAGCTCTGTCGCACTGTAGGAAAAGCAGCAGGTCGTCTACCCACACGTCAAAGTCGATGGCTCTGCCCTCAGCGTCAAAGGTGAGGACACTGGGGGTAGCCATGACAGCAGTAGGGTGAGGGCAGTGCGGAGAGTAAAGCTCAGTGCTCACCAGACAGGGCAGTGCAGGCGGCTCGGGCGGCTCAGGCGGCTCGGCGGCTCTGCTGCTGGGCGGCTCGGGCGGCTCGACGGCTCGGGCGGCTCGGGCGGCTCGGCTGCAGGGGCGGCTCGGCTGCAGGGGCGGCTCGGCTGCTGGGGCGGCTCGGCTGCTGGGGCGGCTCGGCTGCTGGGGCGGCTCGGCTGCTGGGGCGGCTCGGCTGCTGGGGCGGCTCAGCTGCTGGGGCGGCGGGGCCGGGAGATGCAGCGGCGGGGCCGGGAGATGCAGTGGCGGGGCCGGGAGACGCAGCGGCGGGGCCGTCAGGTGCAGTGGCGGGGCCGGTAGGTGCAGCAGCGGGGCCGGCAGGTGTAGTGGCGGGGCCGGCAGGCGTAGTGGCGGGGCCGTCAGAGGGGACGGCGGGGCCTTCAGGTGCAGCGGCGGGGCCGTGTGAAGCAGCGGCGGGGCCGGTAGAGGGGACGGCGGGGCCGTCGGGTGCAGCGGCGGGGCCGGCAGAGGGGACGGCGGGGCCGTCGGGTGCAGCGGCGGGGCCGGCAGAGGGGACGGCGGGGCCGACGGATGTAGCGGCGGGGCCGGCAGAGGGGACGGCGGGGCCGCGTGGGCGGCGCTAGGGGGCCGCGAGGGCGGCGCGACGCAGCAGAGCTGCGAGGGCGGCGCGACGCGGCCGTAAGGCCAGCGCGACGTGGCCCGGGCCGCGCGCGCGAAAAAAAAAAAAAAAAAAGGTCGCGCGCGCGACTCGCGGGGGTCACAAGGGCAGCGCGAGAAGGACTAGGGGGAGCGCGCCTCGGGGAGAGGAGGGCGCGCTCCGGGCAGAGAAAATTTCGTTGGTGGGCCCTTAAAAAAATGGTCCTTAGGAAGGACCCGCTCTATACCATGTCGAGATTAGAGAAAAATGAGTGCACTATGGAATGAAACAAGGATACAAGTACCAACCCTAATTGGGTTGTACCCCCTATGGTCTACCCCAACAGCAGCCTACAATACATGCATCAGCTAAATATAATCTGACACATTCATTATATCATCTCGTATCTGATCTTGGTTGTTTGAATATGTGTCAATGCGGTTTGTACAGTACAAGCATTGAAGACAGCTGTCAACCCTGCACTTCATTCCAATTTTTGCAACTTCTCTGTAGTGACCCCATGTTCTGAAACTTAGGGCCGACTCGGCAACTGCGCTGCCACCAATGTACAGTACAGTATTTCAGCTGTAGTTTTGGTGTGCGAGGGGTGAGGGAGCCGAGCTGGCAGGCTGATCTGGACTGCACAACTTGCTTGGGCAGTGATTTGTCGCTCCTCCCAGTTGGGCTAAGAACTCCACGATCACAACTCAGGGTTAGGAGGGTTGTACTTCATTATTACCCAGGGTATTCCTTGCCTAATCATCTGAGAAGGATCCCTACTGTTCTGCTTCAAACACCCTTTGTTCATTTTCGGGTAATGAGATGGGCACACAGAGACTTCAAGGCTATTGTTTCGCAGCCAGAAGCATGTCCTTCTAAAGAAACTCACACGTAGGGCTCCGAAATAGAGGGCGGATTGGCATTGACCGGATTTTGACTGCCGTTGCCTCACAAAGGCTATGCTAGATTCTACCTTCAATAAATTTCATTTCATAACTACTCGTATAAAAAAAAATTGACAAAGAGAAGTACCCTCGCGCGGTTAAGATAGCGGCGGTTAAAATACCGCAGACTAGGTGTAACATGGAAGACGACCAGAGGGCCGTTTGCAATTCGGGCAACTTTCAGATTCCGGCTGATAACTGATTTTCGGGGACATTCCTGGATTCTTTTTCTGGACGGCGGGTTGAGGGAGTGGTTCGCTCCAGTGCTGCTGATGGACTGGATTGTCTCTTTCTTCTAGAGCTCCTGCCGTCGTCATCTTCAGGTGTCCTTGCGCAACGGTGGAATGAAGCCCATTTGTACTGTACAGTACACTACATAAGAAATCGTTGTCCTATGCTGTACATGTACATTCCGAGTGAAACAGAGCTCACGGTAGCAGGGTGCACATACGGAATTTCGTCAACATTCTGGATGATTTAGTCAAAGACCCGGATTTTGAGGGGGACGAACTCAAACACATGTCAGAACTTATATTATGTAACTGCCTGTAGCTGTAGTTAGTGTAGTTATTTAAATCTGTAGGTGGTGCACCTCTTCCTTGTGTTTCCTATGCTATATGTTCCTTGAACCTATAGTGAAACCCCCTTTTTACCTTTCCAACTTTTCTCGACTCTCTCCTCCCTAGGCAAAACCCACTCGATACCTAAGTTGGGCCTAGGCTTCTAAGCCTAGGCCCTAGTTACTACTCAGCTCATTCTCGCTTATTTTAACATGGTTATCAGAGCAGTTTCGTCCTGGCCTGTGGGCCCGCCCAAAGCTTCCGCTGCTGAATTTATGGTCGCGTGCCTCGGGCGCGTGACGTCTTTCTTTTCTACCCGTCGCGGACCCGCCCCTGGCGCCCGCGACGGCGCTCTGAGCCGTCGCGGACCCGCCTCTGGCGCCCGCGGCGGTGCCCTTAGCCGTCGCGGACCCGCCTCTGGCGCCTGCGGCGGTGCCCTGAGCCGTCGCGGACCCGCCTCTGGCGCCCGCGGCGGTGACCTTAGCCGTCGCGGACCCGCCTCTGGCGCCCGCGGCGGTGCACTGAGCCGCCGCGGACCCGCCTCTGGCGCCTGCGGTGGTGCCCTGCGCCATCGCGGACCCGCCCCTGGCGCCCGCGGCGGTGCCCTTGAGCCGCCGCGGACCCGCCCTTGGCGCCTGCGACGGTGCTTTCCGCACCTGCATTCCCTGCAGCTGCCCCTGACCTACCTGCATCGACCCTATCTAGCCGCTCTGCGGCTTTCTTCCCGCCCACCCCCTCCTCCTTCATCTCCCTGCAGCCGTGGGGGGGAGGGTATGGGGATGGCGGGTGTTGGAGTCGTGGGTCGTACCCTTCCCTTCCCCTCCTCCTCCTTTTGTTCCCACTGCTGCAGCTGCCGCTGGGGGGGAGGGTGTGAGGGTGTGGGGGAGCAGGGGGAGAGGCGCCGGGGTGGCGGGTGTGAGGCAACCAGCAGCCGTCCCTCCACCTCTCCTCTCTTCCCCCCCTCTCTGCTGCTCCTGCAGCAGTGTGGGGGAGGGGAAGGAGGAGGGTGAGAAGATGGAGGGGGTGACCTACTTGTGTCAGCCCGCCTGCAGTTCCTGCTGTTGCTTGTTCTTTATTATTTTGCATGTGTACACCTGCATGTTGTATTCTACACAAACTCCTGCTGCAGGCAGTTATGGGGGAGTGTCAGAACTTATATTATGTAACTGCCTGTAGCTGTAGTTAGTGTAGTTATTTAAATCTGTAGGTGGTGCACCTCTTCCTTGTGTTTCCTATGCTATATGTTCCTTGAACCTATAGTGAAACCCCCTTTTTACCTTTCCAACTTTTCTCGACTCTCTCCTCCCTAGGCAAAACCCACTCGATACCTAAGTTGGGCCTAGGCTTCTAAGCCTAGGCCCTAGTTACTACTCAGCTCATTCTCGCTTATTTTAACAACACATCCGGACACTTAAAGGGCATTCCTCAAAGAGACATCCGGATGCTTAAGGGCGACCCTTAAGACCTTTCGTGCCGGAATCAAATGGTCCTGTCCCTGAGTGAGACGCATCTGCGATCCGAACAGCTGTAGTACAACTGCAGGATTGACTTGCGTTTTCTATGCTCACAGTCGAACCTAGGTGGGTGATGTTACATAGTTAGGGACATTCAGGAACTTTAATAAATGTGTGCTCTTCTCGAGTACTACTTGTCAGAATCCCAACCACTAGACCATTGGGATAAAAGGGCTTTTTTTTTCAGTAGCGGGTCAGTGCGCCCATAACCCCCCAGGCGAACGCATCTGTAACCCTCTCCAACATCAATCGAGCATCCACAGTGCAGATCTACTGACACCCCCCCACACTGGGAGGCCCAGGACTAAGCACAGCGGCAACGGCCAACATGTGCATACACCGGGATACGAACCCGAGACCGCTCTAATACCATGTCAGAATCCCAACCACTAGACCATTGGGATAAAAGGGCTTTTTTTCAGTAGCGGGTCAGTGCGCCCATAACCCCCGGGCGAACGCGCCTGTAACCCTCTCCAGGATCAATCGGGCATCCACAGTGCAGATCTACTGACACTACTTCATGTGCGCTCTTCGCTTGTAGCAGTCATGACTCGATAGGCCAAAGGGTGTTTCTTAGAGACACACTGAGTCAGGGTACCCTTTGATAGAACCCGGACTAGAAAGGGTGGCCTTTCTACGGATTCGGAATTTTACGTATGTTTACGTGGGGGCCCCGGAGGCATCGGGGTCTCTAAAAACGAAAAATTAGCCCTGGAGTGAAAGCATGGAGTGACAGCGGCCAATAGAGACTTGGAACGTCTGAGATTCGAGAATGTTCCCAAGTTTTCCCAACAATCATTCTTCTGCATTGGGCTAGAGCTGACCAGAAAAGAGCCCTAAATTTCTAGAAAGTGGCTGACCATGGTCCCTTGTGAAGGTGTGAGTCGAACCTAAGTTCTTGACAACCATTCCCGTGGTCGCAGCTCCAGACCTAAACATTCCGCACACATCTGCTTAGAACTGTTAAGAATTAAATCGAGTATCACAAAATCCCAGCTCCCACAACCGTCCCAAATATCCAGTAGAAGAGGACAAATACAGTACACCCTATTTCGTGCTACATTGTCAATGGCTATACGAACCGATCGGATGTGCACACATCAATGCGTCCAGGATGGTCCATGCACATCTGATATAAACACTTTTGCTCGCACTCAACCGTATCCAAAAGCAAGTTGTTTTTTGAAAACCGTTGTGTACCGTTCACCAGGAGTCCACTTGCCCGTCACTACCTGCAGTTGGGTTGTAAGCACAAGACCGCTACGTTCCAAGAAACAGTACACACTGTAGCATGTGAATCTCATTGTTAGTGTAGCGCGAAAGAGGGTGTATCGGTAGTCCCAAATTTTTCCTGGAAGACTCGCCTTTGGCACGTGCCCGAAAGACTCTTTTGGGACCTGAACTTTTTGTTGATGTGGGAGGGAGGTTCAGGCAGGGGTGGGTGGTGGTGTGGGAGAGGTCATTGTGAAAAATCCAGCCAGCCCGTGTCGAATCCAGGCATTGCCCAGATCCCACCCGTACATGGAAGTTAGGCAACAGTGTGTAACACTTTGTTTTGTGCAACGTGGCCGATACATACCTTCAAATTTCTAGGATGAATTGGACAAATGCGTTTGTAACAGTTCATGTCCGACAAGACAATGGATCACGATTACGTTTACTTGTTAATGGCGACATATGTTGTGATCCGACTGTGGGGATTGCTGGACGAGCTCGTTGAGAAAATACTGTTCATTACGCTCCAACCACACGCAACACGAGAGAGCTTATCCTCCGAACTGTGAGGAAGGAGGTGTCGCATCACCACACCTATGGATGAGTGCACTCCACACAAGGGTAGTGCACAACACAGCACTTGACACACCGCCGAGCAAACTACTATGGTTTTTTCCGAAACAAAGGTGATTTCGGACGCTTCATATTAAAGTGGGGGGTATACTTCAGGAAACCCTAGAGTTCCCACAATCTTGCAACTAAGGGCGTATCTTTGGTTCGGGTCATAAGGCCACTTCGGGTCATCAGTACACTTTGGGTCATGGGAGGACCAATGGTATTCGAGTATTTTCACTAAAATGCGCCTGATTGGTCTTCCAAGAATCTCGGATGACCCAAACAGTCCATGACCCGAACCGAAGATACGCCCTAAGTGTATCAAACCGAGGCACAAACAGCCACAGGTCCAGCACATGATGTTCTGCTCTCTTCCCGGCTGAGAAGTTCTTTAACAACAGAGCAAATCCGAGCAACAAAGCAAATCCAAACGTGCAATGATCTCAATACCCCATAACAGTCGTAGTACCACAGTATAGAAAACTCTCTGGCAGGAAATGACACGTAGACATATGCTGCTGTGGTGGCAGACAAAGCTCCTCTTTTCGGACTTTGATCACGTGGATGATGCGATGCTGCCGCCAGTACAGCTTAACGATGAACCCCACAAGTTATCACCCCTTCAGCCGACTATGACGGCTGCAAAATTAGATTACTCCCAAACTTGTTGGCCCTTCAAATGTGCTCTAGTCAGACTAAAGTCTAAGATGCAGTATTTTTTTCTCCTCATAAAATAATTATTTTGCTTTTTGCTGAATCCGGGAACAAACGCCTCCTCATATCTTTGTGGAATTTAATAAGAGAATCTATTCGGGAAAAGGACAAAAAAATATGTTGGATTACACCCAGCCAACCCTCCATGAGATTTGCGGTGCACTTTGCAACTGGTAACTTTGGGCTGTGATTGGGTCGACTTTGCGTGAAGCTGTGTAGATAGCCCCGAGGTACCATTGGGGGTGAGTTGGTCTTTTCCCAATTTTCGAGATGCATGGAATATGGTGGAGTTATGGAACATGGACAAGAACACGAAACAAGGCGAGTTGGGTTAGGGGCTGCATCAGAACGGCTGAGAATGCCGAGAGAGCAGTTACAAAGGGGCAGATTATGCCACCTCAGCAGCAGTCACCAAAGCAGCAGATGCCGCAGCACATACAACAGCAGCAGATTCAAAATCAGAAGATTCAACCACAGCAGATGCAACGGCAGCACGGCCAACAGCAGCAAGTATTGGAAAAGCAGCAGATGCAACAGGGGAAGCTGACACAGCAGATGCCACGGATTGAGTTTCGGCGACAGAAGCAGATGCAGCAACAGCTAATGCCACAGCAGTTTGCACCTACACTGCTATAGCCACACTTACACCAACAAATGGAACAAGATGAGGCTGCCGCTGCTGCAAACCCATCGGAGTCTGGAGTCAGGCGCACGACACTGACGCGCAAGCGAAACTACAACCCGCAAGGGAAGTATAGGGGAGTGAGGAAGCGTGGGCCGTCCAGCTACATCGCAGAGATTAAAGACACCACTCATGGGGTCCGCAGGTGGCTGGGCACGTTTTGATCTGCAGAGGAGGCTGCTCGGTCGTTTGATGAAGCTGCTTTCAACATTCAAGGATCCACGGCAAAGCTTAACTTTCCAGAGGAATTTATCAAGGAAAAGGGAGAACTCGAAGCGGCGGATAAGATGGAGACGACGGGAAGGGAGGCTGGTGGTGAGAGTAGTGGCCCAGGGATGCTGAGGAATGGGGTATCTCTAGGAGGGGCTGGAGAGGGCGGTTCTAGTAGAGCTGGAGGGAAAGGGAAAGAAGCAGCACGTGATGAAGATGCTGCAAAAGGGCGATGGGCGGTCGTGGACATGTCCGAGATGAATCTGTTTGGCGAGGGAACAAGTAGGTCAGTGTCAGCGGCTGCTACAGGAACAGGTGTAGGTTTCGGGGGAGGAGGAGGAGCAGCAGGAGGAGGAGGAGGAGGAGGAGGAGGAGGAGGAGGAGGAGGAGGAGGAGGAGGAGGAGGAGGAGGAGGAGGAGGAGGAGGAGGAGCAGCAGTAGGAGCAGCAGCAGGGGCAGCAGCAGCGGCAGCAAGAGTAGGAGGGGTATGCGTAGCAGTAGAGGCATCAGCGGTCAGTGCTAGTGGGAGTAGAGCAGGACCGGCATACACCGCTGAAGGAAGCTCCGCTATAAGCAGAAACAGCTCCAGCAGAGCCGCCCCTTTCTCCTCTGCCCCATCCGCCTCCTCTTCCACCTCGTCTTCTCTCCTGCACTCTACCCTTCCTGCAATGTCTGCTCCTTCAACATCTGCCCTTCTCTTTCATTCCTCTCTTCCTCCTTCCTCTGCCGCTTCTGCCTCTGCCTCTTTCCTATACTCCTCCGTTCCTGTCAACTCAGCCCCTTTCACATCTGCCTCTTTCCTACACTCCACCCTTCTTGCTATGTATGTCGCTGAAAATGCACTCACCAACCTTCCGCTCCCGGTCCCGTGTCCAGGTTATGCTGGTGTACTGCTTTCCTCTGTTATCACACCAACCCTTGGTGGTGCTACCATGGGATGCTGTTCCAGCCAGCAGCAGGATCCATCGTGTGCTGGAGTAGATGGGAGTGGGCTTCCAAGATTTTATGTGCCGGGAGAAGATTCAGGCAGGTTTGAAGGGTTGGGATTCTACGGTCTGACAGCAGGTGAAGGGGGGCAATCCTATGCATTTGCGGAGAGGTTCCCTTGCCAGCTCGTGGGGGTTGAAGAAGCCAATGCAACTGGTGGAAGTGGGTTTGGTGCGATGGAAGGCAAGGAGGGAGCGGAAGCGTGGGAGGTATCTGCAGAGGAAAATATCAGTGGAAGCATAGGGACTACCGGCAAGAAAGGGGTGATGGAGGAGGAGGGTGTCATGCAGATGAGGAATCTAGCCGGGGGGCTCCAGGAATAGATGGGCATTTTGATGGTCTTGCTTCTCGTGATGAATGGGTGGCAAGTGAACACCACTATCAGCTGCCTTATATCCACCACTCTCAGCAGCAGCAGCAGCAGCAGCAGCAGCAACAGCAGCAGCAGCAGCAGCAGCAGCAGCAGCAGCAGCAGCAGCAGCAACAGCAGCAGCAGCAGCAGCAGCAGCAGCAGCAGCAGCAGCAGCAGCAGCAGCAGTACCAACCGACAGCACGCTTGTTGTTGCCGCTGCCGCTCCCGCTGCCGCTCCCACAACACCAGCCGCAGCAGAAAGAACAGCAGACAAAACGTTTATTGTTGCTGTTGCCCCTGCCGCTGCCACAACACCAGCAGGAGCACCGGTTGCAGCAGCATAAACAGCCGACAGAACGTTTTTTGTTGCCGCTGCCGCTGCCATTGCCACTGTCGCTGACACAACACCAGCAGGAGCAACGGTTGCAGCAGCGAGATTCACCTCTTGCTATTCCCAACTCCACACAACCCCAACAATCTACAGCTACCACACCTCTTCCTGAAACTGAGGCTAATGAAACCAGTCCTTCAAACCAAGGCTTGTCAAATCAGAGAACAATAGAGACGGAAGGACAGCAAGGAAGTTCTGTGGGTTTTGAAGGTAAAAATGGTAGTGGTAACTGCATAATGCAAAGCATATCTGATAGTACAGCTAACTTGGTGTTTAGGAAGCGTCAGGAGCGGTTATTTTGTTGTAAGGGTGGTAACAAAAACTACATGATGCCAAGGTTTCCAGAAATGCAGGCAAACCAACAGAGCATGTCACTTCAGGGGCACTCTGTAGCATCAGGTCAATCCTCACAGCAGCACCACCCACGTCAAAAAGGTCAATGGGGTCAATGGGGTCCACGGGGTCAACGTAGTCAACAGAGTCAACAGGTTCAACAGAGTCAACATGGTCAAGAGGGTCAACAGGACCAAGGGGCAGGTGCGGTAGCGAATCCGTCTGTTTTGTCGGGTGTGGAGCAGACTGGAACTCCTGTAGGACTCTCGGCACTGGCAGCAGGGCAGCAGATGATGGCAGCAGCGCAGCAGACGATGGCAGCAGCGCAGCAGGCGAAGGCAACAGGGCAGCAAGCATCGGCAGCAGGGCAGCATGCAGTGTCAGGGGAACAAGCGTTGGCAGCATTGCAACATGCAGGCTATAGGGGGTTCATTGTTGGGGTGCCTGAGAAAGTGGTGATGGCTGGTGGGGACGCATCCCTTCAAGAAGCAGAGGAGGCAGAGGAGGCGGCGGAGGCAGTGGAGGGGGTGGAGGGGGTGGAAGGGGTGGCGAGGGTGGAGGGGGCGGCGGCAGTGGAGGTTCCCAACATGGCAGGTACAGCTTCAAGCATGCTTCCTAGCTGGCATGCTGAAACGATGCGGTATCCGCCTGTCATGATGCCCCCATTTATGCCACTTGGTAGATACGGCCATGGCATGCAGAATGCTTCTACCATGTCCCTTGGATCTTCTGATGTTTTGAGTCCTTGCGCGCAGCAGCAGCAGCAGCAGTACCTCACGCCAAGCTTCCGGCGACGCAACTCTCTCGATCTGAAGGCTCGCAGGAGGGGCAAGGCAGCTGCACGGTGTGCTTTTGCAGACCTCGTTCAGGAATCTCTGTTCATGGAGGACAGTATAGAGCTGCAGACATTCCAGGATAGCAGGAACCACACCCCAGACTTGGAAAATGACGACCCAATCTCCAAGCGTTCCAGCCCTCCTTGGTCCGAACCTCGACTCAAGCCTCATCACAAGCCTCACTCCAAACCTGCGCCACTTATTTCTCGGAGCCACAGCGTCTCTTTCCCCCTGAAGCCACCGGTCCTCAGTGCTGCGACCTCTGATTCCCAGCCTTGTGTGGAAAACACATGTGGTGTTGGTGGTGTAAGTGGTGCAAGTGGTGCTGGTGTTGGTTGTGATTCGGGCGCTATGGGTCCTATGGATGCCGTATCTCCAGCAGGTGCACGTGCGGGTAGTGGACGTGTTACCTGTGCTGCTGGTATATCATGTGGTGCTGCTGCCGGTGGTGATGCAGCTGCTTCTGGTGCTGCTGGTGATACCGCTGCTTCTGCTGCTGCTCGTGATGCCGGTGCTTCTGGTTCTGTTGGTGTTCTTGGCGCTCCTGGTTCTGCGTGTGTTGCTGGTGTCGCTGGTGCTGGTGTTGTCAGTGATGGTGTCGCTGATGCTGGTATTGCTGGTTTTGGTGTTTCTGGTGCTGGTGTTGTCTGCGCTGGTGTTGCTGGAGCTGGTGTCGCTGCTGCTGGTGTTGTCCATGCTGGTGTTTCTGGTGCTGCCAGTGTTCCTGATATGGCAGGTGGTTCTGGTGCTACTGGCGGTGCTCATGTTACCAGTGCTGCTGGGTTCACCAGACCTGTTGGCGTTGCTGGTGTGGTTGGGCTTCCATCCAACCCACCCTGCTCTCTCCCAACCCCACCATGCACAGGTTCAGACAATCTCAGTCGCATGAACAGGGCTGAATTGGAGCGGGGCAGCTGGACAGGGGAATGCTGCGTGCGCGAACGTACCAACCAGGAAGGACAGCCAGAAATTACGCCCAAGGGTTGCCGAATTATCTGGAAGAGCGACCACGGGTGGTGCATACCAGCAGGTTCAGACACGTGCCTTACGATTTGCCTCACAAGCAGCCTGGCAGGTATGGCCACGTGTCCCCGCATCAGCAGCAGCAGCAGCAGCAGCAGCAGCAGCAGCACAGAGATGTGGAAGGGCAGCAGAGGCTGTGGCTGGTGGAACCGCAGATGGCTCAGCCACAGCAGTGGCAGCAGCAGCAGCAGCAGCAGCAGCATCCGCAGGCAGAGCTACATCAGCAGTTGCAGTTGATGCAGCAACAAGAGCAGATGCAGCAACAAGAGCAGATGCAGCAACAAGAGCAGATGCAGCAACAAGAGCAGATGCAGCAACAAGAGCAGATGCAGCAACAAGAGCAGATGCAGCAACAAGAGCAGATGCAGCAACAAGAGCAGATGCAGCAACAAGAGCAGATGCAGCAACAAGAGCAGATGCAGCAACAAGAGCAGATGCAGCAGTATCAGAAAGCCCCACTCATACACTCCCTCCCCCTCATAACACCTTTTCAGTCCACCCAAATCCCGCCTCGCAGTCTGTCTCTTCCTCCCATACCGCCTGCTGCAATCACCTCCACCGCTGTAGCCGCTGCTGCAGCTGCTACCCACATTGCTGCCGGCGTTGCTGCCGCCTCTTCTGCTGCTGCCGGCACTGCTGCCTACAATGCTGTTGGCCTTGCAGTCCTCACTCCCCTCGCGTCTCCAACCACCATCTTCCACAGTACTGCCAGATTGCCTCGATCCAATCACCCAGAGCAGGGTGAGTTTAAATCCACGGATGATGCCGCCTCTGGGAGAGCAACAATCGACAGCACTGTGAATGGTGGTGCTGGCAGCAGCAGTGGAGATGTCTTGATGCAGGAAGTCACAGCAGCAGGCTCTGGGGCTGTATACATTGGCGGTGGTGCGGATCACTCTATAGTGGAGCACTCTAATGTGGAACAGCCTAGTGAGGAGGAACAGCCTAGTTCGGACCAGCCTAGTCTGGACAAGTCTAGTGCAGAACAGCCCAGTTCGTCGGACCAGCCAAGTTCGGACCAGCCAAGTTCTGAGCAGCCTATTCTGGAAAGTCTCTGTGTTGACGAGCTGTGTGCCCTCCAGCATTACACCACAGCAGGTTTGGACCTTTCTCTGCCTGACCGCGCAGCAGGTTGGTTGTTTCTAGAGGCTCAAGACACACACCCCACTGCAGATGCTGCGGGGAACCTCGTCACCCCGTTCTCCTGCCTCCCTCAACGCACAGCAGCTGCTGCTGGTGGGGACCTCGCCACCACCCCGTTCTCTCGCATCGACAGGACAGCATGTTTCAGTTGCGAGAATTATGGCTGCTCCGTCCCCTTTATGGAGCTTTTGAGAGGGGCAGGAGAGGGATTGGAGGCTGGGAGAGAGGCTGTGGATGCGGCAGGGTCGGCATATGCAGCAGATGAGCAGCATTTGGGGGACACTGCGGCTGGAGGTGGAATCTACACCGTGGATCCACTGGAGATGTTCTTCCTGAATGATGGGGAGCCTAGGGACTAAGTATAAGTGATGGGAAGCATGCATAAGCTATAACATAATATAACATTTATATACATTATTATATTTATGAATTAATGATACCGTACAGGTCACAGGAGATGGTGGACAGGTGATTCTGGATAGGGACGGTGGGAAGAGCGAGAAAACCACTTCCATCGTTTCTTCCCAAAGGAATGTGCAGCTCAGAATTGCCATAAAGGTTGGTTCCTCCTCCTCTCACTACATCCCCACCTTTGAGTCGACTCGAACAAAGGTGACACAGTGGTCACAATTGCCACCAAGCCATGTAGTTGCCGCCACTGTGCTCATGCAGGAAAGGCGGACTGTCCTTGCGCTGTGCGGTGCAATGCAGAACGGTGATAACACCATCGTCTCGCTGTTGGGTAACGATTCAGAATAACTCGTCACATCTCAAAAACTTGCTGCTGTGTTGACCACTGTTGTTGTGACAAGTGTTTAGAGCCCAGTCCCTATGCAAAAACGGTAATTATGTGAGACGAGAACTAAAGAATGGATTTGGAGGGTCTTGCATTGATAGAAAAAATTATGTACTGCTGGCATAATCACATCAACCTTGCTAAAACTTCACATTGCACTCCTCCTCCTCCTTGCACCGTTGCACACCGAGCTGGGATATTGCACAGCAAGGGTGTGTGTGTGGGAGGGGGGGGGGGTGGGGAGTGGGGGGGGGGGGGGGGGGGAAGAAGGTACCGTTCGACAGGTAAGCCAGCGAAGGTGGATGAAACCGGAAAATATGAAGATGCAGGTTGGGGTCGGGGATCGATCTTTAAAAAGCATGCGAGTTCTGACAATTGCAGAAAAGAGATGCCTTGCTACACACAGAGAGCAAAAGGGCACGCATGCGAGAATGGGGTGGGATGGGAGATGGAGGGGGGTTGAGCAAGCACGGGTGGCAAGATTCTTGAGACGGCAACATTCTTAAGACAAGACGAATGCAGGGCAGCAATTCGAGAGGGGTTACACTGCAGCCCACCTTGTTGCGTCTGCGCTCCTCTATCACAGCTTGCAATGACGGCCGGCCTGTCAAGAACCCGATGCAGTGTGCGCGCACACACACACACACAGACACGCACACACGCACACAGACACGCAAGCACGCACACACACAGACACGCACACACGCACACAGACACGCAAGCACGCACACACACAGACACCCACGCACACATGCATGCACGCACGCACACACAGAGATGCAGGAGTATAAGCATGAGAGGTACGAATAGCCTATGAAGCACCTCAAAAGTAGACACATTCATCAACATCCCAGGATTTCAATATAGATAGCTGTATACGACGCTGATGAGGTGCCTTAATAAGAGACATAAGTTTATACAAGCCAGCGCATAGCATGAGGTGCATGAGGTAACCACATAACTGCCATGCTCAAGTTTTGTGAGCACTATTTGGCCCACACTCACCTGAGAGTGGCAGGCTGTATTTGGCCCAGACCTACCTGAGAGTGGCAGGCGGTATTTGGCCCACACCTACCTGAGAGTGGCAGGCGGTATTTGGCCCACACCTACCTGAGAGTGGCAGGCGGTATTTGGCCCACACCTACCTGACAGTGGCAGGCGGTATTTGGCCCACACCTACCTGACAGTGGCAGGCGGTATTTGGCCCACACCTACCTGACAGTGGCAGGCGGTATTTGGCCCACACCTATCTAACAGTGGCAGGCGGTATTTGGCCCACACCTACCTGAGAGTGGCAGGCGGTATTTGGCCCACACCTACCTGACAGTGGCAGGCGGTATTTTGGCCACACCTACCTGAGAGTGGCAGGCGGTATTTGGCCCACACCTACCTGACAGTGGCAGGCGGTATTTGGCCCACACCTACCTGACAGTGGCAGGCGGTATTTGGCCCACACCTACCTGACAGTGGCAGGCGGTATTTGGCCCACACCTACCTGAGAGTGGCAGGTGGTATTTGGCCCACACCTACCTGAGAGTGGCAGGCGGTATTTGGCCCACACCTACCTGACAGTGGCAGGCGGTATTTGGCCCACACCTACCTGAGAGTGGCAGGCGGTATTTGGCCCACACCTACCTGACAGTGGCAGGCGGTATTTGGCCCACACCTACCTGACAGTGGCAGGCGGTATTTGGCCCACACATACCTGACAGTGGCAGGCGGTATTTGGCCCACACATACCTGACAGTGGCAGGCGGTATTTGGCCCACACCTACCTGACAGTGGCAGGCGGTATTTGGCCCACACCTACCTGACAGTGGCAGGCGGTATTTGGCCCACACCTACCTGACAGTGGCAGGCGGTATTTGGCCCACACCTACCTGACAGTGGCAGGCGGTATTTGGCCCACACCTACCTGACAGTGGCAGGCGGTATTTGGCCCACACCTACCTGATAGTGGCAGGCGGTATTTGGCCCACACCCACCTGAGAGTGGCAGGCGGTAGTTGGCCCACACCTACCTGACAGTGGCAGGCGGTATTTGGCCCACACCTACCTGAGAGTGGCAGGCGGTATGTGGCCCACACCTACCTGAGAGTGGCAGGCGGTATTTGGCCCACACCTACCTGAGAGTGGCAGGCGGTATTTGGCCCACACCTCGTAGATCCCGTCTGCAAGAGCGCCCACCTGACACACCGCAGGTGGAGAGTGGAGAGCGAGGGATGGGAGGGGAAAAAGGGAGGGAAAGCGGAGACAAGACGGGCGGATCAAGATGAGACCAGTGATGAGGAGCTCACACCTCATCAATTCCGTCTGCCAGAGCTCCCAGCTGACACACAGCAGGTGGAGGGTGGAGAGTGAGGGATGGGAGGGGAAGCACGTGTATGAGGCACCTCAAGATGCTTTTGAGCCGACTCAAAAGCGGGATGGGAGGGGAAGACCGTATGAGGCACCTCAAGTTGCCAAGAGATTGATCAGGACGGAGCAGCGATGGTGGTGGAGAGGTGAGCAATGGTGGAGAGGTGAGCAATGGTGGCGAGGTGAGCAATGGTGGCGAGGTGAGCAATGGTGGCGAGGTGAGCAATGGTGGCGAGGTGAGCAATGGTGGCGAGGTGAGCAATGGTGGCGAGGTGAGCAATGGTGGCGAGGTGAGCAATGGTGGCGGGACAGGAGACATACCGGAGGGAACTTGGTGATGGCATAGACCCACCCGAGGCCCACCGCCTCGTAGAACTCACGAAAGGCCTGCAATTGGTCGGTGCGGGGCAGACAGCGCAGAGAGAGGGAGGGATAGTGACTACACGGGTGAGACTGCGTGCACTGCGCAGAGGGAACCTCGTGATGGCATAGACCCACCCCCCCTGAGGCCCACCGCCTCGTAGAACTCACGAGAGGCCTGCGATTGGTTGGTGCGGGGTGGAGCAGAGATAAGGAAGGGAAAGTTACACTTCGCATTCGCACTCATCTGCCTCAATCTCGCTCCCCCTCGCACTCTAATCACCCCACAATCATTGCCCCCAAATTCTCCTGCCCCTCACACTCTCCTGCCGCCTCACACTCTCCTGCCGCCTCACACTCTCCTTCCTCACATACCTGCAGGCTGCACAACCTTCCACCCCCACCCATCAACATCCCACACCCACCCGCGCGCCAGTGACCACAGTGCCATCCCTTGACATACCGTGAATCTCCCCCATAGCCGCCTCATGCGACTGCTGTACCCCGGTACCCACTTGCACCCCAGACCCCTCTGCACCCATCTGCACCCACCTGCACGCCAGTGACTACAGTGCCATCCCTTGATATACCGTGAATCTCCCCCATAGCCGCCTCATACGTCCACTGTGCCCCGATTCCCACTCTCACCCCCACCCCACCCTCCTGCAGGCTGCAGGCTGCACTGCATACCCCGCGGCACCCATCTGTACGCACCTCCACGCCAGTGACCACGGTTCCATCTCTTCGTATCCCGTGAATCGACCCCATAGCCGCCTCGTACGACACACCCGCATGCTCATCCGCGCTGTAGTCACCCGCCGCTATGTCCACAAACTTGAGTGTGCCAAACTCTTTGTTGCGACCCTGTAGGAAGTCCACCTGCATAGGGGCGGGAGGACGGGCAGGGGGGGGAGAGGCAGGGGGGGAGGGGCAGGGGGGGAAGGGGCAGGAGGGGAAGGGGCAGGGGGGGAAGGGGCAGGGGGGAAAGGGGCAGGGGGGAAAGGGCAGGGGGGGAAGGGGCAGGGGGGGAAGGGGCAGGGGGGGAAGGGGCAGGGGGGGAAGGGGCAGGGGGGGAAGGGGCAGGGGGGGGAAGGGGCAGGGCGAGGGTCATGTCAATCTCAGCTTTGCCGACAAACTTGAGCGTTCCGTTCCGTACCCCCTGTTGGGGCCCTGCAGGAAGGCCACGTGCAAAGAGGAAAGGGCAGGGGCTAGAAGGGAAGGGCAGGGGGGTGGGGTGGGGCCAGTGTCACCCACAGCTGCGTCCCTGTTGCCGCCCTGTTGCCGCCCTGTTGCCGCCCTGTTGCCGCCCTGCTGCAAGGCCCTGCTGCAAGGCCCTGCTGGAAGGCCCTGCTGCAAGGCCCTGCTGCAAGGCCACGTGGTGATTACGCGGGTGCCACACCCACCCCTCCCTCCCTCCCTGCCCATCACCATCTGCCCGCCCATCACCATCTGCCCGCCCATCACCATCTGCCCGCCCATCACCATCTGCCCGCCCATCACCATTTGCCCGCCCATCACCATTTGCCCGCCCATCACCATTTGCCCGCCCATCACCATCTGCCCGCCCATCACCATTTGCCCGCCCATCACCATTTGCCCGCCCATCACCATTTGCCCGCCCATCACCATCTGCCCGGCCCAGTTGCCCGCCCCAACTTTTCGAGCATTCAAACCCTCCACATCCCTCCCTTCCCCCCCATCCGCCATGCGCGCGCCTTCCCCCCCATCCCCCCCTCCTCCTTCCCCCGTCCCCCCCATCCGCACACCTCTCGCATGCAGAGCGGGCAGTCGCCATCGTACAGCATCTTCAGCTGCCACGTGTCGCCCTCTGATTCCTCCGCCGTCG